ACCCGGCTGGCAACAGGTCTGGCAGCCCCACCATAAACCCTGTCCCTGTTAAAGCTCACCAGTGCTTCAAGCACAAGGTGAATTAAAAAAGCAGCATAGTGCATGTTCCACATGCACAAGAGGGAAAAAAAAAAGAGCATCTTGAGGTTGCAGGTCTCTCCCCAGAACAGGCAGGAGCTATATCCCAGGGAGCATCTTATCCCAGGTGCATGCTCTTTGCTGCTACCCTTCCCTACCAGCCCGAGCAGCAGGTTTCTCCCCGCTGCCTCCCCTCTCCCTGCTTTGCAGATTATCTCAAAAAAACGTGCAGGTTGTGCTGTGCACAGAAGTGGACAACATCAGTATTTTCAGTTCTCAAGGCCACTTCTGTACCCGAACAGAACGTTTTCTATTCCCTGCATGCCCACCATGCCACCATCTGCGGCAGTCCTGGATGGGATGGGTAGCATTGCTTTAGCAGTTCAAACTAAAGATACAGCAGGTCCCATCAGTGTTTCTCAAACCACAGATCTGACTGTCATTGAGGCAATGGTATCGGTTCTTGGCCAAGACCCAGGACATCAGCTGCTCCTCCAGAGAAGAGCAAGCAGAGGCCTCCGAGGCACACAGCCCTGCTCTCTCTCAGGAGTCTTGGTCTCCTGCCAGACAAACTCAAAAGATATGTTACTCCTGGGCCAGCGTGGAAACAAGCACATACCCACAGGGTCACCATGCACAGGTACCCCCAGGATAGCCTCCTGAGGGGGACTAGGTGTCTCCTTCATAGTTTGGATGCACATACTGAACTGTCTTGCATGCAGGACCCAAGAGAGTCAACAGCATCCATTCATTGGCTGGGCAAGCTTTGACAGAGCTCCATCTCAAAGCATAAACCCCAGCTAGCAAAGCACAATTCCTCTACAGCATGACTGTCATTTGGCTTCTGACTTAGGGCAGAAGGTAAGGCTGCCTTCTCCTCTTGCAGCCGGATCACCACCAGCACATCTCACCTTCCGCTGGGAGACCAAGCACCAAGAGCTCCCCCTGTCTGGTGGAGCCTTTCATCCCAGCCCTGGCTCATGCTGGCCTGCCAGGAGACCCATTTTGGCCTTTCTGGCTGCGCTATTGCTGGTCACACCTATCTCCTTGTATGCATGGTAGAGCCCATGGTCTCTGGGGGAGCACAGGTACATCTGCAAAACAGAGACCACATTTCGGTCCTAGCCAGTGTCTCTGCTCACAAGGCACTTGCTGTCTTGTCACTTTCAAATTGTCCAATTGACCATCAGGTTCACTTCAGAGCAACTGTTCTCAGCCTCAAGTTAAACCTGAGGAAAGGTTATGTGCCAAGAGAGGTTTTCCTGCTTCTCTCCCTCAGCTGAACCACCTAATCTCTGCCTAGATGCAGTTGTGATACCAGACTAACACTGCTCTCTTTCCATCAGCCATCCTTCTCACTGCTCGTTTCCCCTCTGCCCCGATGGCCCCAGTCCCAGCTCCCCTCTCTTCATATCCAGGTGTTTTTTACTTTCAAACCTTTCAGTCTGCCCCTCCTGAAGTTGCTCCAGCTTCTTTGTGCAGACAGAACAGACATGGGGGAAGGGAATCTCTCCAACCACCAGCACGTGGAGCAGGGCACTACTTTGCTAGAAAGCCACGGTTAGCCAGTCTCCATCCTTAGCTACATCACTGTCATTCCTTTGACAGGGACAGAGATGTTCTGGCCAGCACAGAGGTGTCTCAAACCCAATCTCTCCAGGTTTTATTTACATTATTAGACTCTGGGTACAGAAAGCTGGAGTGAGTGTGCTGTCATTCTGGCTCTTCACCTTCTAAGGCACAGGCTGCCATTTTCAAAAGGTTTTTGCCATGTACGAGGAGACAAGCAGCAACAGCGTGAATCTTGACTGCACCCTCACTTAGTTCATCAACACACTATACACATTGCTCTCCTTGCAGACCAGATCCCCTTTTATTCCTAGCACCTCTTTGAAACACTCTGATTTGCATCTTCAAAAACTTTTAGATCTCAAACTTGCCGAAGAAATTAGGCTTCAAATTTTAAACATTTATATACACAAAATATTTTAAAATTGTGTCTTGGCTTTGCTGGATTGTTCGTAATAATTGGTTAGTTGGTGTTTGGACTGGTGGTATCTGGGCATACCCAACTGAAGCTAAGGCTCTTTCACTGCTCTTCTGTATTACTCCCATTGCCAAACGTGGACAAGAAATGTCACAGCTACTTGTAATTCCTGAAGTCTTACTGGTTACTAAGAAAATAATGTACCTCACATAATTCTCCAAAGACTTTCAAAAAAAGTTTCAGTAACTGGGTCTACACAGGAGCATGGAAGAGGATGGGAAATGCACAAGCGGAACTTTACTCCAGCTGCATCCCAGCTAGTTACTAGACTGCTAAGTCATGGTGTACTTAGTACCAGTTCCTGACTTAGCTAAAGTACTGCAAGAAAAAAGGCTCAATCACTGACAAGAGACCCACGCTGAACAATGTTCACAGCTCCGTAGCACTTCTCTGCCCCAGCGCCTACCCTCTCAGTTGAAAGCAGCCTCCACACCACCCTGGCAAACATCCTGGAAGTCACCGCTCTCGCAGCACTGAAAGCCAACTTTTGCTTTAGGGGTGGCTGTATCATGACAGATGTTGCCACCTAGCCCCTGAGACATAGCCGATACCCCAGGAAATGGAAATCCCCAAACTGGCATCCATTTTGTGATGCTTCCTTTATCTCAGCCTCCAGCTACCCTCTGCTCCTTCCTGAAACAAAGATGGTATCTTCACTAACGGTTACTGATGGCTTTTTCTTTCCCCATGAACCGGTCAAGCTTTTTGAACAAAAACTGTTAGCACCCATAACTAAGTAAGAGCTTACCACAGACACTAAGGAAGGTGCAGCCTTATTCAATCTGCCATCTTGTAGTTTAATCGAACACGCCCAATCCTAAACATTACAGAAAACAGTGAACAATCACCCCCTACTCTACACATTTGTCACACAGTTTTACCCACCTTTATCGTATCAACTGGGAAAAGATATCAGAATGGATGAATCCCAGCCTATGTAACAGGTTTCTTGCAGGAAGTTGTTCCTTTATCTTTGGCTGGCCTTGTGTTTCGCTGTGTCCTTCCCAGTTCTACTACCCAAACTGCAGCTCTTCCAGACGCCACCATTCACATCCCATGTGCTGACAGAAACCTTGCAAATGTGATTTCCTCCTCACCCACAAAGCCTTCTAAGAGATCACCTAGGAGATTTTGCTTCCCCTCCCTTTGGCTCCTTACCCCCATGGATCCAGCCCCCAAAACGCCACTTGCCAAATGAAATAATTTGGATGACAGCAAAGAGAGGGTTAAAGACATTTATTAAAAAAAAAAAAAAAAAAGGAGGAAAAGTCATATTTACAGACCATTGCTTAAGCATGAAACTCTCCAAATGACAGAAATCACAATTTCTGTAACTTAAGTGTACAAAGTGCATGTCTTTTCCCTTTCTGCTCTGCAGCAGAAGATGGGGAGGGAGGGTCTGGGTTGTTTTTTTTAATTTTTTTTTTTTTTTGTAGTTTCTACCCTCAAGACAGTGGGACCAAAGAAGACAAAACTATTGGTACTGGGTTATCCACCAGGCAGACTCTATGAATAGCAGTTTAGAAGAAAGTAAGGGCAGGAGAAGTGACTCTTGTTCAGCCTGCCCAATGTATTCCCTTGGGAAAAGGAATCAGGCTGAGGAGTGGGAAGGAAAGGTTAGTCAGCTATTCAGTAAATTAAGTCAGAGATCCAATTCAAGCAGTCCAGGCTTCCCAGATATATTTGAGTCAGTTTCTATTCACAGCCCTATTGCTCTGGGTTCAAACACGGGCTCCAAAGCTGAATCTGACTATCCCAGTCAGAGCGGGAGACAACTCCTGTGCTCCTCAAGCTGTTAGTTGCATAAGCTCGCATACAGCCCCACACTATCTATGCCAGGCGGGGAATGAAAGGTTTTGGACAGCAAATGAAAACAGTGCCAACAGCAGCCCATCGCACAGGATTAGCTACTTGATCTAATCCCTCTTGAAAACGTCCAAAAGAGAGGCTCTTCTGCAGCACTACCCTCCCTCGCCCTCTTAGGTGGGAAGGCAAGCAGAGGCACTCTGCCAGCACTGTGCTGAAATGACATGTAACCGGAGCAGGCCAAGGAGTGTACGGTTAAGAGCCAGGAAAGCCACACAACTGGCCTGCGAGACTACAATGCACCGGTGTGAATGCAAATGGCAAGAAGGAGCAGTGTGCAGGGTACGAGGTACAGGAGTATACTGTGCAGAAAGTAGAAACACAGATGCCAACACAGGGAAGAGGAAACACCCACAGCATGGACAACAGACTGAGCCTGAGGAAGACTCACTTCAAGGATCTGATGTGTAATACATCCCCTATCTGTATGAGGCAGTCCACAGGCTGCATACCAGACACCGATCACTTCATTTGAGAGAGCTTGCATTCAGGGAAGGAAATGCTGTAGAGTGCAAGGCCCAGGTGTAGGTCTCTTATTATTTGGACCAGCAAGCTTCTGGGATGCTGCTTTACTCATACGAAAGCAAGACTTTATTCTCTGAAGAATTCCTCCTTCTCTCAGACTCCCTCCCCACCAGATGTCAAACAGCTCTGAAGCTGCCTGTTCCAGGCAACAGCACTATGGCTCGCCTTGCAGCAGTGAGATTCTTCTGCAGGGAAAGTTTTAAGTGCCTTTGAAGTTTACAGACAGTTTGTATCTCTTTGTTCTTGTACTACAGTTTTGCTTCATTTCATTTCCACCCCACACGAGTACCATCTTGATTTACTCAGAAAGCATTTACAGCTCCATCAGTCTAGCCTAACGAAAGAAACAGAGATTTCCCTGTTTTCTTGTAGGACGGGTACTCTATTTTTGAAATGTAGCAGCCTCCTTCTCAACCTCTATTGTAATTTGAAGTAATCAGCACACCTCACTGCCTTGTACTAGTGATAACAAAGGACATCCGCTATTTTGGAGATGTGCAGATGCTGCTCCCTACATCAATGCATACCCAAGTCACATGCACCGAGCCATTGTCAGAAAAGAAAGTACAGCTGGGAGTGAACAAGTTGATAGAAGGCTCTTGCCCCCTTAAATGTGGGCAGATTTTAGGCATGGCTGAGAAGAGACGTATTTGGCCCTTTGGAGACCAGAAAGCCGAATATTCCCAAGCACAAGTAACACAGTGCCCTCTTGTGGCAGCTATTGGAATTACACATTTATATGAGACCCCAGATTTTCTGTTGCAGATCACAAGTTCCAGTCCCTCTGTGGCAGCAGTCCCTCCTCCTCTGGTCACCTCTTCAGCACTCTCACTCTTCACTTGCAAGGTGCTTGTCGCTGGCTGTAGGAGAACGCAAAAGAGAGAATTGGCCTTGGCCTCCCCTTCTTACTGAAAAGTTGGCAGAACATGCAACCAGCTCCTTCCCTCCTGGGATCTAGAGCATGTCAGGCAGACTGACTGGACGTGCTCGCTCCACTCCTCCAGCCTGTACCCCCACCACATCTGCAAACCTGGCAGCAAACCCACTCTGTGGAAGGAGAAGCAGCCTCAGTAGAGCAAGCCCACGAACCACTGTGTGCTGTGACTGTTCTAGCACGGGGTACTGCTCTCTGCTGGACAACTGAGTTAACAGCTTGTCAAGCAAAAGCAAAACAACCAGAGGTCAGACCACTGCCAAATCACAGGGCTATAGAATTACAGTTCGGAGCCACCTCCCTCCACAAGCAAGTGCATTCTGTTCATTAAAATGCAGGGAGCAAATATGATTGTGCCTTGCTAGCTGCCAGAACAGAGTCGTTTAGGCCAGATCACACTAGGGACCACTTACAATCATAAACTCTTGCCAGGGATCTCTGGAGCGGGGAGATCTGTCACTTTGGCTCGTTTATGCAGTTCTTCAGTGCACAGCTCTTCTGCTCCCTCATGTTTGCGCTTTGGAGAAGCCTGGTCTGCTTGTGACAGTCTCATCGCTGTAGAGGAAGAAGAGTCATTGCAATGGCTCCCCTACCTTTAGATCTCACAAGTACAGCCTAGCCTAACCTGCTACAGAGCTGGGAGAAAGAAGAATATGCAGCGCACAAGCACAGAGAGATGTTGCCCTAACCTCCTTGAAAACTTTTGAAAAAAAACTTTGTTAGAAGCAGAATAATTAAGTCTCCCAGAACAAACACAAAAGTACCCTTTGATGGAGGACAGCTTAATTATACCTTATTAGCCCTACAGTGCTCTGCACTTCTCCCTTAAGTCGCTGCACACGATCCCATACAGGCAATAAAAGATTCAATTTAATGAATTCCTATTCTTCAGCCCTTCTAGGAATGAAGGCTCACTGGGAACTCCTAAAGAAAACGTAAAGGAAAGCGAATGGGATCTATGTTTTCCTAGTACAGATACGCTTCTTACTAGGAAAGGATCTCTCTCTCCTGCCCATAGCCTTTAAGTTGACACAAAACTATCTCAGAAGCACACAAAATCTCCAACTCACCTGTACTAGTGCTGCAGCCCTGACCTGAGGCTGAGTCTGTGACTGGACCACTAAGATCTTCCACACATGAAGGGACTGATGCCAGTAAACCTAGAGAAAGGCAAGAGGATCGTAATTAAGAAACAAAGAACACCTGGGGTGGGAGAAGCCTTTCACATGGAAAACACTTCAGCGATCACCAACCAGCACATCCCAGCACATCCACAGCCCAAAGCAGGGTGAGTTCCCTGTGAGCCACACAGTGCCAGCCAGCCACCGTGATCCAGCAGTGTATTTCTTTAGGGTGCTCTGCCTAGTTTTTTTCCAAAGTGAAGACGGACCATTGGTGGCATACAGATGGTGCTGTGCCATCACCAGCTCTCAAAACTAATCAAACTCCACTCTAAGCTGTTCAAGAGCTCAATGAAGCTCTCCCTGGAAACCAACTGAGCAGCTCTGGCAGGGACTGCTTCCTCTTGGAAGGACTGGCCACAGAGACAAGTACTATCTATTTTAAATCATGACCCCTCCTATACTTTTATCTCCTATTAAAGACACAATCTTTTGCAATTGTTGGTACTTACAGAGTCCCCTATAACGTGACAGCTGCTGGTAGATCTGCTTCATGCGTTCGATGTTCAGTCGGCTGGTCTCTGCGTGGTTCACCATGGGTTTGGGGTAGTCCACCCCAATGATGCACTTGGCTGCCTTCTGCACAGACTCTGGGGCATTCCACGGTTCGTAGATATATCGTGAGGGGAAACCCTTCAGTTTGGGCAGGTATCTCCTGCACGAGAAGTAAGAAGACGCACAAACACCGCTTAAAGTGCAGCAATGCAGCATTCATGATGCACAGAAAGCACTGTGCACCTGTCTGAACAACTTAGGCTCACAGAACAAGCAAGAAAGAAGCTCCGGTCACATCACTTACTTAACATAGTCACCGCTGGGGTCTGTGCGACGTCCAAAGCCCACAGGGCAGTAACAGTGGAAGAACTGCTGGAAGAATGCACTGCATGAAAGCCACATCCAGCTGCCTGCATTGACGCTGAAATCTGCATCCAGCAACAATTCATCAAACACCTGCAGCAATTGGAGGAAAAGGCAGTGAGCGCTTCCCCAGGCAGGACTTTGGGGCAGGAGGACCCATGATGCTATTTCAAACGGCAGGCACTGAGCTGCAAGAAGAGCTCCCAGGAACCGCAGCAGCAGCAGCAAAGAGGCAATGTGCTGGCTGAAGCCAGCCGGCTGGTCAATATATCTCACTTCCTGATGCTTTCACGTAGGGAGGCACTGTCTGCTCACGCTGATAAAAGTGCTGGCTTATCTCTCATGCAGCTACACACTAAACCACTACCTAGTGCTGCAGCAAGCTTTGGCTATTGACCCTAACCTGGGAGGCGTTACAAGTGCAAAGCAACAACTGTGGGAAGTGGGCAGATGCTGCACAGAAAAATAAGCACCAAAGCAAGAAGGAAGAACCCCTCTGAATGTCCCAGAGCACACTGCTACTGAGAGGCAGACAGGTTTCAGCAGTAGCTCGCTCAGAGAGAGAATCCACGCACAGATGCTGCGCTTTTTGCATTTGACCCTACGACGCACTTTCAGCTATGCTCTGCTTTCTGACAAGATGCCCCTGCCTCCACTTTTTGCATAGGGCAATATGTACAAGGGATAGGTTCAAGCTGTCTGTCCCTTCGGATGGCCCAAGAGGAGGGTCTTTTACCTCTTTCCTTGAGAGACTCTAGACTCAGATTTCACAGTCATGGAGTGTTCCCTGACCGGCACGGTGATGGATTACACAATGAGGAAAAAGGTCCAGTTATAAAGTGGCATTGAACTTGCAAAGAAAACAGATGGACTGAGAGAATTTCTAGAAAAAAATTTAAAAAGCACCCAAAACCCCAGTCCATATTTACCAGTGGGTCCCACTAACATTTACTTACAGTTACTGGAGACTCTTGATACTGTTAGAGCCTCATAGTAGAAGGCAGAAAGAGGTCAGGCTGTGGCAGGCCAAAAGCCTGCTAGCAAATCTTCTTTTCCACGCAACTTTCACATACGAAGCAAAAGCCATACCTGTGTGTCCATCCTTGCAGCAAGTGACAGGGAGACTTTGTTTTTCTTATGGCCTCCTGCAAGCCTCTGGAAATGCCAGACTCACCCTGACTCCTGACTCCCAGCTGATCCAGAGGTCGCCCCTGGTCAGGAAGCAGGCCACCGCGTGCCTGGCCAGATGGTGGATCCACCCTTCCTGTCTCAGTTGAGTCATGATTGCATCGATCCAAGGGAAGCCTGTCTTGCCCTCTGCCCACTTTGCCAAGGCTTCAGGGTTCCTGTCCCAGGGGATTTGGATGCAAATAGGGTTCCCCTCCATACGATCAAACTTTGGGTTGTTTGTAGCTGCTGTGTAGAAAAATTCCCGCCACAGAAGCTGTCCGTACAGAGAGAGGGGGGGCGTGCTGTTCCGCTTCACCTGTGGAGGAAGGAGCAAGGGTATTCACAAGCAGGGGAGGACTGTCTTCATTAAGCTGAGCTGCAGGCCACCCACACATTTCTACATAACTCCCAGGTCTATTACTGACAACTGCCATAAAGGACCTCAATTCTGGACCATCCTTTACCAGAAACCCCAGGTGATGAAGTCAGAGCACTGCTTTTAGCTCAATCAGTACACCGACAAGAGACTTGAATGACCCCAAACTAACAGCAAAAACCTCTACACAAGCTCTACAAAAGGCTCGTGACAGAAGAGTCCAGGCTGAAGAAGAGGGTATCGGCAGATTTAAGGTCTGCTCCACCATATACAGGACAATCACTTTTCCTCACCCAAGAGCCTCTTCTGAGTAGCAACAAGCCTAGCTCAACAGTCAAACACAAGGGAGGCAACAGTAACTTTTGCAGCTGTTCTGGCACACTGTCTGGGAACCAGCACCATGCTACCTGTGCTCAAAGCCAGTCTGCTCTCCACATGAGCCTTTTGTCTTACCTTCTTATACAGCTCCCAGAGACGATAGTAAAACAAGCGGCAGGACAAGCAGCCAAAACGCAGATAGGGACTGAGTCCTGTAGGGCTGGCCAGCAATGAATTGGCGTTCATCCTTGGTCTTTCATAATTTGCAACCCATGCCTAGACACGTTCAAGAGAAATAAGCAGAAAACCCCCAAATTTGTGGGACACTACTAAGGGCATACCTCTGTGCAGGTGGCAAGGCCACTCAGGTCTGACTGCACAGTCTCTTCTATTCACTTCCAACCACCGCTGGGAGAGATCTCAAGTGGGCAATCCCAACCGCCACACCCCATTCAAGAAATGCAAAACTTTTGCTCCAAGATTTAAACCACTTGGTCATTTGGGCCAAGAAAAAGACTAAATCTGCTCTGCACGCAGGAGATAATAAGCCTGAGAGTTCCTAAGGACATACGCTAATGCCATTGTTTATGTCCAGGGATGTCTATCTCATTTCACACACTGAACAGGAAAATTTGGGGAAATCCAGATCTTTTTGTGGAGTATTACACTGATAGTTTACTCCTCCTTCAGCACAAGAATTTATGCTTTGATCTCTACAACTGCACCAAGCCACCTAGCATTAAAAAGATACAAACTGTTTAAAATTGAGTCATGCCTTTGCAGCTGGGTCATCTTTCATTACTTTGAAATTGTCTGCTTGCGCACTACAATGAAGAACACATGCTTCATAGAAAAAAAAACGGGTATTTCAGCAAGGCATTCAAGAAATGCCAGCCAGTGAATGAACATATTAACAGGCTGATGTACAAGGGAAAGGCATTCTTTTAGGAGCATGTACTCGCACCAGTAACTCAGCTAAATCAAAAAAGATGGTGTGCAGTAGGGACTGGGCAACTTACAAGAGAGTTTCCAAGTTTGCACTCCTCTAAAGGAAACTGAGGGATAGAAACAAGGAAAAGAATTTTGTGCGCTTCAAACAGCAGCATAATTAATATACAGCTCTACTTCTTTGGGTCTGAGGAAGCCCAGGAGCTCCCCGCTCCACACACGAGCCATGATCACAGGAGTACATCAACAATACCAAACACTCCTTCCAGAAGTGAATGCTGTGACCATTGCTAGGAAGAGCAGAGAAACACAGAGCAATGGCCAGTGCTCAACATTTTTCATTTGGAGCCACAGCCTGTGGAATCGCCACTTAAATAACAGGGTTACCTTTCTTTCCAAGTGTTTATCCAGCCGTGCCAAGGCTTCTGTCTCCCCTCCTTGCCAAACTGCAGGGGCAAGACCATCCGTAGGAAAGCCTGAGGGAAAGAACTTTATGAGATTTGAAGCCATGCCTAGACAAAGGGTATAGATGGGATTAAACATTAGTAACTGCCAGACATTACATACTGCAGTTGCCTAACATGGCTTACTTGCTGCTCTAGTCCTTCTACAGCAGGCAGATCATGTGGAACACAGGGAAACCCTGCTAGTGACACTGCACTACAAAGGCCTCTCCCTGCAACGCTTCAGGCAGCCTTCTGGGGACTTTCCCCATTGCTCACATGCCACCACTGTTTCTCTGTGTCAGCACTACCCACACAGGGCTCTGCTCCAAAGGCCAGAGCAGCTGGCAAAGGAACATATGCTCCACGGATCTGCCCTACAAAATACCTTGCCTTGGACACCAGCAGCTCACTAGATAGCCTGGCTGCTCCCAGTGAGGCTCCTATTTGCTGAAAGCTGGTGCTGGGGAAGGCACTGGATTTGTGCTGAAGAACTGATACAGAAGGGGAAGCAATAATGCAGTTTCCTGCACTGCTCTGGGCTGACAGAAGAGCTTCCCCTGGCAACAAGCAGAGCAGTTTAAGGTTGCAGGCAGTCTCCCATTAGGCCAGTCATTAAAGGAAGCAGATCTACCCAGGACTGCAACCCTGAGGATACTCCTGTTGTGAAGCCCCCGGCTTTTACACGACCACTGAAACTGTGCCTTAAGGTAAAAGGTGATATTCCTATAAAGCTGCTATGGAGCCTCCACTCACACACAGGCAGACAGTACTCTGCATTAATTCTTTCTTCCCTTGCATTTAGATTCACTTCCCTGATGTAGGCCTTGCATTCCTCACACCTCAGCTCTCTATTCATCCTCCTTCTCCAAGAAAAATACATGACCAATAGGCATAGCAGGATGAGTGAAAGAAGTTTCTGTAACATCTTTCATCTTGCTAAGCTCTCAAATTGGTGTTGCTTGGCAATAACTGAATGAAATTATCTAAGCCTGGTACAGTTAGTTTACCTCTTCAGGTCTGTTACACAATGTGTCAGAGATGGCAGTAGCAGGAAAACAGCTGATACAGTGGTTACATGCTCAGTATAGCAAAGAACACAAGGACAGACGCAGCGCATTTCAGAGCAATGCTAGAGGTGACGCTTTGCATCATCAGTAGCGCAATAGACATGAGTGTTTTCACAAGGTTCAGCACTCCCTGAAAACAGGCTGCTTCTATGTCTAGAGGCAGCCCAGGCCAGACACTAGAGTTGTCCCAGGCACATGCCAACCATCAGAAACAGTTTCACTAGACCCCGTTTCAGCTGGCACTTCAGCCTTGCCCTTCACTCTTGACACATACCCAGCTCTTCCAGGGATGGGACTCCATACACATCGTCGTGGTTCTCCTGGATGTCCACTTTACATATCTCCATCTGCTGGCTTATTACAGTGCTCACTGGCTTCTTTGGGAGCTCCATACGGCTAATGATGGCCTGGAAGCGCTTGTAGGTGAGGGGTGGCTTGTGGCCATTCAGCTCAATTATTCTGGAGACAAAATAAGCAAGGTGAAACAACACAGCCTCGCTACCAGAGAAGACACAAGGAAATGACAGCCAAACTGCATCCTGCTATCTCTGCTCAGGATAATCTTTCAGCTTGGATACAGAAACCCTTATAGATCTAGCTTCCACTGGATGCATCAGAAAACACACCAGAAAACAAAACCCCACATACTAACTAATCTCCATAGTAAAAACAACAAAACAGTTCCAGCTGAAACAGGTTTAGCATCACATCTCTCTCTCAGAGCTCCTCATCAGACCCCTGTATGAAATCTCAATCTTGTTACTACCTTTCTGTCTCCCCAAGATAGCAAATCCCAGACCTGCATCTGTTCCCCTGACCCCTTGAGATATCCTGATTCTGACCTTACATCCTCCCCTTCTGACACAAAAAGTCCCAGCCTATTAGTGACCCCTCTTCCACCCAATTCAGATGAGACAAATCCCAGTCTGCGTCATTCCTCTCTCCCTGTGATTAGAGAAATCACCATCCTCCCCCATGCCATAAGGCCACCAGCAGACCTGTCTTATGCTATTCACCTGTGTCAGATCATGCTACAGAAAAAGCAGCCCCGGTTCCCCATTCCTCTACTTCACTAAGTATCCATACCCTGCTAGGGCCACTCAGCCTTATTTTTCCAGGGACACAGGGCTTTGGGAAGCCCCCTGGGCAAGGTAAGCTTCCCCAAGGTGAAAGATGCCTGCAGGGAGAGGAAGGAGTTAACAGCAAAGCAGACAGCCCAGGGATCGCCGGCATTACATAAAGTTAAGGCAGCCAACCCCAGCGCTCACACGGGAGCTGCAGCAGAGCAGCCTTCCCCACCCATGGCAGTCAACAGCTTATGCAAGGGGCTGGGCTTAAAGCCGAGCCTTTCGGCGGACGCCATGTGCCTTCCCTTACCCCGGAAGCCGCACGTGTAGCGAGGAGGAGCGACATGCCGGGCCGGGGCCTTCCCCAGCCCCGAGCCCTTCCTCACGTGTGCTCCGCACTGACCCAGCTTCCCCGGCTGCCGAGCGGCGGCCCCGCGGGCACCCGGCCCGGCCC